TAGAGAGTACATTTTCTCCCCTTCAGTTACTATTTAGCAAACTCCAGATGATTCTAATCTAATATTCCAGGAGGTCTTACATCCAAGCTACAGACTTTTCTGATAGCTACACGCAACCTTTGGTTGCAAGGATTTTAGTAGCACCAGCGGAAGCTGCGTTCTTGTTCTTTGAGTGTTCCTGTGGGACTGGCGGTTGGTGGTCGGCAGGGGCTCAGCGACTGAGCCACAGGAGTGCTAAAACTGAGGAGGGCGACCCCTCTCACCTGTGCTGGGGAGAGGGAGAGCCTGGAGCTGATGTCGACAGCAGAAGTCGGACTCCCAGGGACTCCACCTAAATCCTGTGCTCCTTATCCAGTTTTCCATGCTAGTTTTCACATTCAGAATTGCCTCCCTCCCGTGTAACAAGAACAACAACATCAGAGAAGCTTTGAATGTAAAGGAAAACATTAAGAACAACTTCCTCGGGAGTAGTAGAGCTTTCGAAATACGGAAGGGAGAGAGGCAGGTGCCCAGGGGCGAAGGATGAGCAAACGCCGTCGTCAGGCGTGTTCACACGAGCTGGCGGAACTGCCCAACGTGTGGACGGCGTTTGCCTTTTTTTTTCTTTAAACAAACTGAACACTTTGAGATCTGATTTCAGGGACGCAGATGACAACCAGGAAGGAAGTAGGCTGCCAGAGCAGCCTCACTGAAAGGACGTAACAGCAAGAGGAAGTATTTTAGAAGTTACCCAGATGAATGTTTAATAACACACACACACACACACTCCATAACAAATTTTTAGTCTTTATTTATCAACTACCTACAAACATGAGTTTACTGCACATATTCTTCTGTTCTGAAAGGCAATTTACATCAAAATTTGTGTGACATATGCAAACTGTGTCCTCAGAACATTCCAGTTCTGGGGCATCCTTGCCTGCGGGGATCCGCGACAGCAGAGCCAGCAGGGCACTGGGTTCAGGCAGGGACCCGACCGGTTCTACCCACCAGCAGGCCACTGGCCACCAAGTGGGGCTGCAGGGCGGGCTTGGGGGCCGTGGACCTCCATTACCTGTAAGGTCCTGTCTCAGAGAGCCTGGAGCAACATAGGAAGCGTTTCTACTGGGGGAGGGTCTGCCGGCTGGCGGTCTCTTCTCCTCCACTCCAGCTACACTTCGCGAGCATGTTCCTAAAAGCAGTGAAAATAAATAGCAGGAAAACTGCCCATCACTGCCTTCGTGTGACAGGCTGTTCGGCAACAGTTAACAAGGGAAGGAGGAGATCCACCTGCGTTGACCAGGGCTCAGTCCCAAAGACACGGGTGTGGAAAAAGCAACCTGCAAAATGGCACACACGGCGGGACGGCCTCAGCGCAACGCTGAGATGGGCGCGGTCAGCGACCGATGGTCGGGGAGACATGAGTGAAAGCATAGGCCTCGGGGGTCTCCCCACCTTCAGAGCGTTCCCTGTCGGGACGGGAGGCCTGTGATCTGAAAGCAGTGAAAAGCGGTTTAAACTGTGTGGAGTTTTACTAAAAAAGTAACCTATGCAAAAAAAAAAAAGTCCTTCCTGGTGCAGCTCATCAACCAAGGCAGCTGTGAGGACCCAAGATGGCCAGAGCCGCCCCAGCCCTGGGATTTGCTCTCATTTATGCCTTAGCCCAAGGACCACCTTTCTCTAAACACAAACTCCAGGCAGGTCCCCGTCTAACTCCAACCCGAGCAATAGTCTAGCTGGGTCCGTTGTGGGGTGACTGATAATCCCGTTTTGCCGGGGACCGAGGGGGTTCCAAGGTTTCAGTTGCTCGCAGGTTGGTCACTTGGTTCTCTATAGTGTTCCATAAGATACTAATTACCGCCTGAGATTTTACTAAATGTATGAAATCCCAAGAACAAGAAATAAGCCAAGAACACATCCCCGTGAGACATGAACATTTTCTTCCCGTGACCCTGAGCTCTTAAGCGTAACGAGAACTCTCTTAACTGCATCTTCCACTGAGTAGACACGAAATCCCAGCCTGCCGACCCCACTTCATCAAGACAAGGAACACGGAAGCCATTCTTTTCAAAGTCCTGGGACGACTGTCAGGATTCTTAACCCTGATCATGTCATGGCTGGTTCGCTCCCTGGGCACCTTCTGGAAGGCAGCTGTGCTCACCTGTGCCACCAGGCTGCTCCCTAGGCACACCGTGGATCCCTCAAAATTAAAGAACTCAAGGTCCAGAGGTACAAAGATAAGAAAGGAGGTAGTGGCCAAAGCCAACAAGCATTTCCCAGGAAATGCAGCTCTACTGTTAATATTAAACAACAACAACAAAAGAATTCTCATAGCAATTAAAATCAAATATCTGTGTGGAGAATGAAGAGGACATGATACCCCTGGAACAGACTTCCAAGAGTTTCTCTGCAGCGCTGGCGGGGTTAACTGTTCTCCAGCGAAGAAGGCCACACGCAGGGGCCCCGTGAAACAGCAGTTTCTAATTTTGTCGGTTTCTTCTCTTAGGATAATATATCCCAAAATTCTTTGCATCTGTAAGATGTATAAATTACTACAGTTCATAAGACACTATCTGTTCCCCAAAACATATCCATGCTGAGTGGCTATCTTAAACCTAAACCCTCTTGGCACATTGCTCTGGAATTCTGCAACGCTGCCTCTGAGAAGAATGAGGTAAGTCTTTGCTGTCAGACACAAAGAACACGGCATGAAAGTGTGTGCGAGATGTGGCTCCATCAGTTTTTTTAAGTGTATGTATGTCTCTGTGCGTGTATATATAGATATACAGACAAAAAGACAGATAGATGTGGTCTTGCTCTGTCACTCTGGCTGGAGTGCAATGGCCTGATCATAGCTCACTGCAGCCCTAAACTCCTGGGCTCAAGTGATTCTCCTGCCTCAGCCTTCAGCGCAGCTAGGACTGCAGGAGCGTGCCACCACGCCCAGCTAATTTTTGTGCATGTGTTTTTTGCAGAGACAGGGTCTCTCTGTGTTGCTCACACTGGCCTCAAACTCCTGACCTCAAGCGATCCTTCCGCCTTGGCCTCCCAAAGTGCTGGGATTACAGGTGTGAGCCACTGTGCCTGGCCAAGTTTATGTATAATTATAGAAAAGTGAAATGTGTTGGAAGAAGAAATTGAACTCTTCTTGTGGACACTTCTAGGGAGAAGAATTTGGGCTGGGAAAAAAGGAGATGCTTTATATTTTTTGCACTTCTATACTGTTTACATTTTCTGAAGTTAATATGTATTATCTTTGTATTGAAAACCCCTTTTAAAAATCACAAAAAAATTCCAATGCTCCATTCCAATGCTTCATTGGTTGCAAAACTTGATAAAGGCTGTAACCTGTGTAACACAAGGGATACAGCAGGCATTTAATATGTGCTTGTTGAATGAATTTAAAAATACAGATAAGAATAGGAGTAGCATATATTTGAGAAGTATCAAATCTTTTGCTGAGCCTGGAGTTAATAGCAATTATTTCTTAGTATGAGTATTATTTAGTATTGGAGTGCGACACCCCAATCTAAACAGCTGCACTTGTCCAAAATAAACAACAAAAACGTAAGTGATCAGATTTACTTAAGCAAGTAGAAATGTTTGGGATTCTATAAAAAGATGTATCTGGAAAAAGCCCAGTAATTTTAAGGCCCTGTCAAACTATACTTGGCATGAGGAAGCATATGACATACTAAATAGGCAGAAACAGCCTGAGTCTGCAGTTCCGCAGTCAGTTAATCCTGCCCTCCCGCATCCCGACAGAGCTGGCCAGCCTGAGAATCATGGCCCTCCTCTGTAGTGTTGCCATGGTAACGGCCGGAGCCCAGCAAACAAACAGCAGAGGGGAAATGGCACAGCATTTCAAAAATATATCTTTAGTACTCGGACTGTTGCTCTTCTATTTTTTTTTAAAATTTTTTAAGAAAAAAGCTTTGGCAATCATTTGTAAAGAATGAGAGACAAAAAGACAAAGAACAAGAAAAGTCTTAACCTCAGCCATAAAAACAATGGTGAACCACCTCTTGCCTTTCCCTGGATGGAGCTGGAGCCCATCCTTCTAAGTGCAGTATCACAAGAATGGAAAAACAAGCACCACGTGTACTCACCATCGAATTGGTACTAATTGATCAACACTGATGTGCACACGTGGGAAGCAACATTCATAGGGTGTGGGGCAAGTGGGAGCAGGGAGGAGGGGATGGGTAAATCCACACCTAACGGACCCACTGCGTGCTATCTGTGGGATGGGCATGCTTGTCGGGCGGTCCAAAAGCAATTTATGTAACCGAAGCGTTTGTACTCTGTAATACTGTGACATAAAAAAAAAATCTTAACCATTTCTCAAACAGACTAGATTGTAGGACAGAGAAAAATGTCCCATCTAAGAGTGGCCGTAATACTTTTGCCTCAAGAAAATAGTAAGAGTCTACCCAACCGGCTCCCAGGAGAGACCACAGAGAGGTGCAAACGGAAGGCCAGGTGGAGGGGGCAGGAGCCCCCGCAGGGGCACGGGCACCATGGCTGATCCTCACTCAGAGATTCAGCTTCCTTCACCCAGCAAGCATTTTCCACAAAAACTACAGCTCCTACGTACATTAATACATTTCTTTTGTGGGCAGAGTTGTCTCCAATTTAGACTTTCCTTCCCTGAGAAGTGGTACAACACCACTGGAGTGCTTTTCTCACTCCAGTCAGTGGCCAATACTGAAACACAAGTTTTCTCAGTCTTCAAGCAAGAACTGATCTACACCAAATTAAAGAGGGCAGTAAATGTAAACACACCACTTGGTCAATTTTCACAGTTAGCGTGGACGACGGCAGTCTACAGAACACTGAGATCATTGTCTTGGGAAGACCATCCTCCTTTTGGGAATGAGCTCGTTTGTCCATCAGCCAATTTCCTACACACACTCTTGCTGTGATGCTCAACTGCTGAACTGAAGCCCCGTTTCTGACTTCCTCAAGAGAAGAAGACGCGGTCAATCAGCTATCCTCGTCAGAGTCAAATATTTACAATGAAACAAAATCACTTGTCTTGCCATTTTTCATTCTTGAATGGAGGAGTGGCGGATAGATCTGTGGTAATCCTCCGGACTGCTAATGTGTTCGGGGATGTCGTAGCCTCTCAGGAAATGTCCACTGTTTTGTTGAGCAAAATAATACAGTTGTCTGGCGAGCAGAGGTTCCACCTTTGATAAGAGATTTAAAAAAGACATTACTGAGATGTCCTGTAATCAGCTCATCATTAAATACCTCTCAAATTTTAAGGGACAGTAAAGTCCAAAGTTTTATGCTATAACGCATCAAAATGCTTCATATCTGGGGCCACTGAAGAACCAGTTTTTTTGTTTGTCCTTACATAAAGCCACCTGTAAACGAGTAACCAAAATCTACTTAATTCTGGGCTAAAGGTGCTGCTTTTAAATCAACTGCCACTTAAAATTCACATTTAACTAAGACCAAAGCAGATAAGGTAAAATAATCAAATTAAAAGGAAGTCTTAGGTAATATTCAGGGTAATTTAAGCCAATGATTTTGTTTTCCACAATTGCAGTTTGCAGAGTTTCACATTCGGAACTCATCCTGAATGACTTCATTTCCAGACAATCTATATAATTTTAAACCAGAGGTAAAAGAAAAAGAAAGTAAAATTAAACAACAACAAAACTGCTATTGTGGGAAAAGAGAAGTTAATTGGCCTCAAATTTATCTAGTTTGGTTATTAGTGTGGATCACATTCACAAAAAAACCCCTCAACTTCCAGCTTTTCCTGAATTTATAACATCCAAGACAAGCTGAATGCTCTCAATAAATTGTGCTGTTAAATTGAGTCTTTATGTTATTTGATATATAATGACTTAAGCATAACTCCTGTGTAAGTACCTGAAATGAATTAGATCCATAATAAAAAAAAAAGTAGCTCTCATGGGTGTACACATGTAGGTTTTCCTTTTATGGACCATACAGCACCGTTTTCAGGAGAGCCTTACATCCAACCAACCCTTAAAATCAGGGTGATGCCAGAGTGGGTCATCAGCTTCTTAAATGTTGTTTAGCAATGCCAAGTTTATTTAGCCATTTAACAATCCCTGTTAACAAGGTATTAATTATTATATCAATAATC